TGGCGTGAAGAAGGTGCGAGGAAGATGTCGGTCGCCACCATCGATGATGTGGTGACTAGCCGACATGAAGCGATGCGGGTCGAGCTCATAGCTCGCCATGGATGATGGCGGAGGAGATGGCTTGGGGTTTTCTTTGGAAGAAAGAGGAGGAGATTGGAGCAATGTGGGCGGCGACGATGGGACCGGACAAGCTATCCCAATAACTCCGGCTCCGTTCCCATGACAGGCAGAGGATTCCGATATACTCGCATTTTGTTGCAAAGAAATTGGCTTCCAAACCAATCCATTGGAGCGCGCGAAATCGTTACAATCTTTCCTAGAGTGACCCGTGCGGGAGCAAGCCGAGCAGACCACTCGCATTCCACAGGCGGCTGCCAGGTGGCCCCTCTGGGAGCAAATAGTGCAAGTTAACACGCGGTCCACCATGTCATCGACCATGGCTTCAAATTGTCGGGTTGCCTCTTGCGATGTGGGAATTTCCTGAGAGGTGACCAATGGGCTCAGGTTAGGAGAAGTACCCTACCCATCAGAAATTGGGCTATTCTGAGCAATAGCAGGCCCATTAGAATTGGGGCTAGTTTGCAGTATTGGGCTGCCACTCAGCTGGGTCTCCGAAAGAGATGGGACAACAACATAGCAACCATTTTGAACCGGAGAGATTCTCGCCTCCGCAAACACGCTAAGAGATTACTGGCATTCACGGGCAACAGTTCCATTGATACCGGATCACACGCCATCGATGATGTGACCGGTTGATGCAACTCTAGCAGCGGGATGACCGAACCAAACACTATAGGTGGCCTAGCCACCGTCCAATGCAAATTTGAAGGGGAGGTTGTTGAATAACAACACGCTCATGAGCAGATAGATCATAGCCCCCGTCCATGATCGTTTCAATGCAATTTTGTTTTGCCGGATATCTATATCCTTTGCCAGTAGAATACCATTCAAAAGTGGCAAAATATAGTTTCTTCTTTGCAGTGCCTGCAGACTTAAGAGAAGATCTAATCAGAGGCTTGTGCATGGCCAATAATCCTAAAGATGATCTACGCTTAGTTGGACTAATCAAAATCCATTCAGCGTCACATTCTTTACGCCAAATCTTGAGTTCTCTAACCCAATTAGGCCCTCCATTGCCCCATAGATTAAAGTAGCATTTGAACAGATCACAAGCAAAAGAGCGAAGATCCATAATAAGAAAACCAACTTGCTTGCATGAGACTTGGAAAGAGAAAACCTTATCCTTGACGTGTTCAATCCGAAGATCAATTGCCGAGCCACCAATCGCAACTTCCAATGCTGCCTCCACAGTATCTTCTGACAACCGGAAGGCATGACGGATAAAAGACACAATCAATGTGAAAGCCCTCTGTCATCCCATTGGATGGATCGTTTGACCAGTAAATTTGAAAACCTCATCAAAGAAAACCCTACCCTTGGAGAAATCCAAGCCAAGGTTAGATCCACCAGAGGAACCCATAGAAGATGGGTATTGCCTTGATCCAGAGAAGACGCCGAAGTAGATGATCAGAGGGGATCCACAGGTTAGTGGATGAGGATGGAGATCGTCGGTGAGGTGGTCAGCACCGTGGTGGGAGGTGGGAGCGCCATCATATCATTGCACGTTTGATGTAATTTGTAGACCGCAAATTTATCTTATTACCTATCACTACGAGATTTAATCCTTGCAAGTAACCGCCGAGGGGATTGACAACCCCTTGTTTGCGTTGGGTGCAAATTTTGCGCGCGCGCGCGCGCGTGTGTGTGTGTGTGCAGGTGCTGCTAATGAGGTGTTGTGTGGTTCTTCTACTGGATTGATAACATTGGTTCTTAACGGAGGGAAATACTTATCTCTACTATACTGCTTCATCCTCTCCTCTTAGGGAAAATCCCAACGCAGATCACAAGTAGCACTTGTGCCACTAAGCACATTTGTGATCAAGCATCTCTTATTGAGAAGAACAAGTGGTTGAGGGCCCAACTTCAGAATGGGGCTTGTGTCATGCATCCAAGGGGAAAATAACCTCAATGAAGTGTGAGCCAACACAAAGAGGTTATTGCCAAAGAAGGGCTTGGTTTTGACCCAAACACAATAAGGGCAAAGAATGTCGCTCTTAAGAAGAGTGCAACTCCTCAAAATGTTGTATTTGTGTGTGAAGTGCACAAGGGCAAGGGGAAGAACAAATTTGGTGATGTGGTTGGGAGTGAAAGTGCCACAAAGGGCAAGTCCATTCCAAACAAGTCTAAAGAAGCGATGCATCCATCCCATGTGCTTAGTAAGGCAAAGGATGGAGATGTCTATGCTAAATTCGTTGAGCCTCACAATGCATTTTGATACTATTCTACTTAAGGTGGTAAGGCAAGCGATGTGGGGTGCATTTGCAGATGATGGTGCGAGTGCAAGGTAGATGGAGGATGATGCAGAAATGCGGTTGTGTGAGAGGAGGAAGACTAGATGGGCGGGGAGGGAGGGGCAAATTTGATCGAGAAGCTCCGTGCGAGCACATCCAACAATGTGCATCAAAACAAATTATGTTGTGGAGATATTACTGTACTAGAGATCCATTCCTATATTTTACTAATATATGCATGGGAACAGTAGTACTTGTGATACATGAGGTATAATGTAAGCTGAAGTGAAACATGGTGGACATGGCTTCGTGTCGGCACTAGCGGAGAAGATGTCGGGGGCGGCAGAGGACATGTTATGGAAGATGTTGGGCGGGGGTGGAGGAAATAGCCAAATGGGGTGTCTCGGCGCCAACGAGAGCAATGCGATGCTGCAGCGACAACGTATCAGGTTCCATTTCCGTTCGGAGAAGAACTAATAAATATTTGCTGCTTATAATGATACAAGTTCATGTTTCTAAATGCAATATTATCTTCTATGTAAATGGAATGAACAAAATATAAGCCCAAGTGGAATGCAAGCCTTAATTTGTACTAGTAAATGATATAGGTTTGCTATATGTGTAGAATAGGATTTCTTTTTGTTCCCTAGAGAATCTCCTAGATGAGTGGTGCTTGTGAAATTTGGCATGATCTTAGCATGAACCAACTAACAATGATATCTCCAGCAGGTGCTTTATTCACTTAAACTAGCCTTCTTTTAGCAAAAACAGTAGGTTAAAGCCTACTGCAAATTTGTTAGAAGCAAAATATTTATAAGGATTACATGCATGCAGTTTACATAAGGCTATCTATTGTTAGAGACCCAGAAAGGTCAAAGTGTGCACAATGGTTGTGGGAGTGGTTGATAAATAACATCCCCTCGGGCCCAAAATAAGTGTCTTAAATTTGTATCAGCTTTAGTACAAAGTTGTACTAAACTTAAGACACTTATTTTGGGACGGGGAGTATCTTGTTATTCATTATTGATGAACTTATGTTATCACATTCAATGAGATTGCCTAATAGTTGTACCTGATTGTTGTGTTTATAATTAAAGCACACTGTGACTATCCTCGACAGGTGTTGTTTTATCAAGCTATTGCCCTTGCACCCATGATGAGGGGATGGTAAAAAAAGATGTGCACTATAAATACTTTATTTAGATATTGTATATGAAAACATCAAGTAATTATAAAGTGTCATTTACGATCACCGGTGATCATAGCAGATGGCTCTTTCATGTAAGTTGAGTGTTGCTAGAGGGACCTCAATCTTTTTGAGCCAAAAAAAAAAGATGAGGTCTGTCCAAAATTTTGTGAGCTATGAATAGTAGATTGGAAAGGTTGAAATATCTCGTGTTGCCATGGTTTCTAAATGGTAGATGGTAAGCTCTTTGCTGCATTAGGTCCTAAATGGTAACATGTATGGTTCCAAGTGCCTAATTTCACAAGAAATAGTTTGCCAAGCAATTGCACAATGCGCTCAACCTTTTGGTTATTGTATCTTGGAACATTTGTTTAAAGGAAACATAATCCTTCATGTGTTGTTTTTAAGTATAAAAATGAACATGCTTCGTGAGATGATCGGCATTAAGCATAAAAAGGCGTCCAAGTGCTATCTATCATTTGTAATCTAGTGCACAATAAAGAGTTCTATGGTTTTGTACCACAAATTTTTTATTTTGTGCATTGGACCTAATAAGTTTTTCTATGTATACATATCGTGGAATTGCAACTTGCTTTATCAAAATACTCCCTCCGTCCTAAAATTCGTGTCTTAGATTTGTCTAAACTAGATGATGCCTCGCACGTTGTTGCGGGAATATTTTGCAATATCTCAATGAGGTTTCTGCTTACACGAAACATTAATATTTGAAATAATAGTTTTTGAAAGTATATAAGAATTTGATGTAAATAGCATAATAGAATGGAATTTACATGCACGCATGGATGCATGGTGAAGTGGATTTTTAAAATGCATAGTTGCATGTTGAGGTGGGCCTTTTTTATGCATGTTGAATGATGAGGTGTTATGCTTGCATGTTGAGAGAAATATGTCAGTGGGGTTAGTTATTTAGATATAGAAGATACGGATATATCAAGTCTACATCTGTATCTAGACAAATCTAAGATAGGAATTTTGAGACGCAGGGAGTACATTTCAATTAAAGTGGCTTTAATTTTTAAAGAAGTGGATTTAAATTATTTTTCGTCTATTACTGTCCATTGTTTTTATACATGTATTCATTTTTTTTGAGCATTAGTACAGACACAAGCGCTCATATACACGCACATACACTCACCCCTATGAACGCACACACGCACACCCTACTCCTATGAGCACCTCCAAGAGACTGACTGTCCACCTAACCAACTCAATCACAGATTGATTCGCAACATGTACTCGTATTATGTTATATACAACTGGGGCATCTAAAAACATATGCTATACCAGTTAAAAAGCCCGTGGCACACGTCAAAAAAAAAAACCCGTGGCACACATGGGCATTCTACTGGTCACGAAATATAACGTGGGAAATCATCGAATCTTCCTCCTTTCTTTTCCGCCCAAACCACCCCCTCCCCCCGCCGCCGAGGCCTCCATTCCTCATGGAAGCCGCTGCCGCTGCGAGCCCCGGTAGCTCGTCGCTGGAAGCCGTGGCCACCGCCTTCCGGTCCCGCGTCAACGAGCTCCAGGACCTCGCCCTTGCCCGCAACAGTGAGCTCTCTCTCCTAGCCCAACCCGCTCCCAGAACCCTGGTCTGGACCCCCTAGTGCCGTGGGCCCTGACCCGTCATCTTCCCCGTACGCAGTGTACCCGGCAACGGCGGTGACCGACCTCACCACCGTGGACACGTCGGTGACGGCCATGGAGGCACAGGTGCAGGCCATCCGCCGCCGCCTGCAGGAGGAGCTCGACGCCATCCCCAAGGCCAAGGTATCGTTGCCAGTTCTCGTGATCTATTGGGTTGCGATCTGTTTCCGAATGCTAATTTCTCTGTTTCTCTGAGAAGCCGGTGTGGTAAATAGCAATCATGTAAAGGGAGACTAATATGGTAATTTTGCCATTTTCTTTGGAAGATTTGGGATCGCATGACGTGAGTAGTACTTGTTAAAGTGGTTGTGTACCTATCTCTTGTTCATACCCTTACAGTGGGGATGAGAGGCGCAAAAATGTGGATCGATGGTGATGTTTGCTTACCACAACGGGCTAATCTTGGTCAACTGGCTGTTCTTGTGATGTTTTATTGATTTAAATCATAGGGCATGAATTGGGTTTTTAGATAGTACCACTTATATATATCTTGTGACATTGGAGAACATATTACCAGGACGTGAGATCAAAATCCAATCTGAGTTCATGTGAGAAGGAGAAATCAGTGAGGTAGTAGAAGAGATACAGGAGGAACAAGAACATAGACAGGAAATTTCATCCCATTTTTCCGATGGCTTTTTCCTCAGCTGCTGCTGCTTCTGCAGCTTCCAGTAGAGGCACCGGCCCATGTCCGTCTGAATTCCGAGCCACACTCCATGACCACTGAGCCCAATACATATGCGGGATACATATGCAGGATGGGTGTTACATTAGTGCTCCCCGCCAAAACATTGCTTGCCCCCGTGCAGTGGCTTGTTCCCCTAGCACTGTCCTGTAGCAGCAAATGTATAGAACTTCTCAGCCTTGAAACTCTGCAACTTCACTTCCTCCAGCTGCAATAAGCGTTGTCACTCTTCCAGAAACAATTGACCGTATGCCAGGATCCCATGGCATCTGAAATGGTCTTTCAGAAATAATCGACCAGAAGGCAGAATTCTATGGCCTGTGCTGATTTTTCATTTCTAAGCAGATCAATGGACATGCATCCTTGCATCTGTCTATTCGCTTTAGCACCTGAAACACCATCAGTTGATAACCTTGTACCCATTGCATAGAATCCTTTGATTCCTATTCTTACTTTCTAAGGTCATGACATTCCCATGCACGTTCTGATATTGCCAACTAACACGCACAAAAACTTGCACCGGTTCACTAGCATCAAATAAGTAAAACTCAACTGCAGACTGGTGGTCGACAACAAAATCGTGTTGGCTGTCCAGTTTGGACTCAGCAGCTACCATGCCTACATATGCTTCAGAGATTTGCCATGTTTTCCCAAGATGTAACCTCTTCATCATGCCAACAGTGCTCACGGCCAGTCTGAATATCTTTCACACTTGTATCTTTATCAACAGAAAACTGGTCATCTGACTAAACAGTGAAAATTTGGAATTACTAAGTGAGGCCAGAACAACCTCCCTTTCATTTCACTCCAGTATTTAGGCCCACTGCTTAGAATTCCACATGCACTTCCCTGTTCTTCTGCTAGTTCATTTGCTATATCTGTGGAAACATGTGCTGGGTGCTAACGGAATATCTACTAGACATAATTTGCATGCGTACAAAATCACGATGATCGCATCATCTCCCAGAATGATGGTAAACAAGGTGCAGACTCAAGCTTTGGTCCAACTCAAGTTGCACTTCCATGAAGCCAACAACCCCACTAAACATGTGTTAAAGCTTGTAAGAACAGTCCGTAAGCAACCATAATTTTCCTGCATTGTTGATGTCACAAAAGCAGAGAACTGCCAATAAACATGTCAGGATCAGGATTATCAGCCAAACATTTCTGTTCGACTAGTCTTGATTAGTCGTTCGACTAGTCTAGTTGTCTCTATCTGATTGTTGACTAGCTTCTTCGTGTAGACTAGCTCGTTGAGTCGAGCGGTGGAGCGACTAGTCATCGACTAGTCCAGACTAGTCTGGGTGTTTTGAGTCGATCAACTCAATTTGGGAGGGATAAGTGAGCAGCGCTCACAACGCGGGAGGGAAAAAATTGCAACCCTAGCTTTCCAGGATCGCTCCACAGTGAGCCGCCTCACCTGGGACTAGGCTGCCGCCACCGCCCATTGATCCGCTGCTGCTGCTGCCGCTGCCACTCACCACCGCCGCCAGCGGTGGCCAGGAGCATTACGACGCTCTCCCTCCTCTGGTTCTGCTCCTCCGCTGGATCGACCCCTCCGCTGTTGTGCTCCTCCCCTTGCTGTTCTCCTATGCCGATGTGATCCTCCTCTGGATCAACTCAATTTTATTGTATATTGTACTGTAATATATGGTATATACTACTTCCTCTGTAAAGAAATATAAGAGTGTTTAGATCACTAAAGTAGTGATCTAAACACTTATATTTCTTTACAGTGGGAGTACATAATAGGTATTAGTAGTTGAGTACTGTAAGTTGAATACTACAGTACCATGTCGACTAGTCCAGCAGTAGTCTAGACTAGTCATGATTAGTCTATGAGTCTCAACCTCGGCTTGACTCGTCGACTCCTTGATTCGTAATTCTTTCCAGTTATCAAAACAAACACATGACACCAGACTAAAGCCCCCAAGACAGTATTTCCCTGAACAACTGCTATATCTGACATTCTCTTGGGATCACCGTTATTGTGGCAGGCCATCGTGGCTCCACCTTCGAACCACCCGCGCTCAACTCACATCATACATCACACTGTCAGAATTCTTGGCGAGTGGCTCCACTCTTGTACCGCCCATGCTCATCTCACATGATATGGATTGCTGTTGATAGGTATGATGTGTCCCAAAATCTCGTGGAGTTTCCCAATCCCACACAGCATTCTTTAGAGAAACCTCCCCGAGTACCTGGCAGTTAGCAACTACATTGCCTCCCTTGTTGCCTAACACATCAAACATCCCATCGAACACTTGCACACTTGACCACCGGGAAGAGTGGGTGTGGTTCTGGCTGGGCATCAGACAGGTGATGGGCTGGATGACGACCCATGACCAATGAGCCCAGTACATAGGCAGGTGCTACAAGCGCATGGCTGATATTTTATTTATTGAGGGCTAATTTTTTGCTTGCCCCGACCTTCCCTGAACCTAATTTTGTTCACTGTGTGTCGAAAGACATTGCTACTTCTCATTGTGGCTTCCTCAAATTCTGATGCAGAAACTAGTGGAGAAGTCCTTGAAGCAACAGCAGAAGTTGCAGCATATGCTTGCAAACATGCCACCTGGGATGCGTGAGGATATCGTTGCTACTCCTCTGGAACAAAGCTTGTCAGATTACTTGATGCTATTATCTATATCTGTTGTCTTTACCTTCATTTGGTGACAAGAATCATGCTGTTTACGTTACAGGATGTTGCCCGAGTGCTTTAATTTTAACACAGCTGTTCCAGAATTTCTGGACTCTGATTTTAAGATTAAGGAAGAGCCAGTTGCAGCTCCCAAAGTAAATATTTATTTATGTGTTGCACCATTCACTGATCTTAGCTACAATTGTTTCAGCAGGAGTTTTTTTTTCTTTGTGTTGACGTATAATGTGCTGCCTAGTCTCTTCCATCAGATCGGTCTTTTGGTTGCATTGGCTAGAGCATGCACTTCTACATGGTATCAGAGCCAAGAGGTCTTGAGTTCAAGACCCGGCTGGCGCAATTAAATTGCAGCCCACTCTCGGTCCACATTTAGGCCCGAGGGAGCCACACGTGAAGGGGAGTGTTGACGTATAATATGCTGCCTAGACTCTTCCATCAGATCGGTCTTTTGTTTGCATTGGCTAGAGCATGCACTTCTACACTTTGAACTAATGCTTCTTTTGTTGCTGTGAAGAAGGGGAAAGGTTCAGCACCTCGTTGGTATATATCCACTGAGGAGCTTGATTCATTGTCATCGTGAGTCCTCAGTTGCACTTGTAGCTTCAATTTATTATCACTGCTGCATATAACCGCAGCATCCACGTTTGATTATCTGCTTCTGGTTAAGAGGCTCTTTCATACTTGTAATCTGTCTGCAAGAGAGCTTCTGATATATACATGCAAGTGCTACTTCTTTCAGCACCACGCTGCATACTGATGTGTGCATGCTCCTCCTTTTCCTTTCTGTACAAATACTAAGAGTTGCTAGCTGAATGTTGTGTGATTCACGCAGATACAAGACATGGGATAGTGTTGATGAATCTGCTCTGTCAAATCTGCTTTGTTTGCATAGCATAATCTTTCTGCTGCCTGTAGTCCTCACATGTACCGAGGAAGGAATTTGGTTTATTATTGTCATCCAGTCACCAAGGTCACGACATGTCTGAGTATTAAACTGACCCATGTTAAAACTCAAAAGAGGGTTTCAGGTTAATTTGCTAAAATATAATAGCGACAGTGCAGATGCCAATGGAAACATATAATATTCTTTAGTGAACATGCAAATTCTCTTTCCCTCATCTCAGATGACAGTGATTAAAATGTAATACTAGCTTTCTTTAATAGGATATCCCATTTTGTTACTACAGGTACATGAGGGGGAGGCTAACATTGGAGAAGGTTAACATTTCGATAAACGAGGTGGCTACATATGCAGATGCTAATGCTCATCTTGTTGCATGTCCTAAGAAAAAGGTTTCCCTTTTGTACCCCAACTTGTCGCTGATAAACAATTATTTCTAGTTCTCAATGACTCCAAATTTTCTTGCAGTTATCAGAAGACACATGGGAAAAAGCTTTGGTAAGTTCTCAGCATTGCTGTTAATCTGATTTTCTCATGTAGAAAATCATATCGTAATTTCTGCTTAGGAACTAAGGGACATAGCTGCCACTGAGGCAGTGAAGGGGAAGCATTTCTTCCTGGAAGCTGATATAAAGGGGCCTGGGCTAAAACTTGATCACACAGGCAAAGCTATCCTTACCGTGAGTATTTGCAGCTTTAACCACTTGGGTTGAAACCTTATAGATTATTTTTATTCTTTATAATCACAGAAGATGATCAAAATCATGAATTGTTTTGCTACTGCAATTGTTCTTTTGATTATTGTTTCCATAGTTCAAATAAGTACCTGAAAAATAACCAGCAAGTACACTGACAAATTCCGGTAGTCATTGATCATGATGAAAAGAAAATTCTACTCCGAAATAAACATCTATTTAAGTTGCATGCACTTTTTCTTTCTCGCTTCATACAAACTTCATGCGCATGAATATGTTAAAAATAGTTTGAAAAGATGGATATGTTACATCAACTACAAACATATCTGTTTGACACAAAAACCTGCTAATTATAATATGTTCTTTTCTGTCTGTAGCTTAATACATTTTCTTCTGTTAATTCATCATCCACTGTTAACCAGGTCCTTCGCCATCTTGGCCGCGTCCATGAAACCCGGATTGGGCATCATCGGGTCTTCATACTTTCAAAAAAATGCTGAATGAAGGGGTTGTTATAAGCATTAAGATTTGATGTGATATATGGCCGGGGCCACACATTCTTGCAGCCTGTTTGTTACGGCCTAGTTTGGTTTGCAATTGTAGTAGCCTTGGTGTAATTTCCGACGAATGATTGATTCAGTTGTAATACGTTCGTTTCTTCATTTCTTTTTATGGGAGTTTGTTCCTTCTCCTTTTTATGGGAGTTTGGTTATTATGGTCGGTTGTTTCATTTTGGGTTTGTCTAATTATGTCCCTATTATGGTTTCCTTTTTTCCATTTGTACGTCTTTTGGGCTGCTTTTGCAGATGATATTTGTTCTGAGAGTGGAGCTATCAGGTGTGTGGTTTCGGCCAGCTGATGGCCGTTGTGTGAGTCTCTTGGAAGCTCTTTTATCACGTTGAAACAGTGGACTTGCTGCTACTATAATGCTCACACGAGCCTACCCATGAAGCTCGCTCAGCTTGGCTCCTTGCTCAATTAATTTTCTCCACCGCTAGGTCGGCAAAAACCAAATATCATATTTTTATATTTGAAGCAGTTCATTAAATTAAAAAAATTATGTGTTTTAAGAAATCATTAATGTTGCAAGTACAAAGAAATACTGATACGGGGCTAGACCTGGTTTCGGCCGATCGTTAACGATTGGAATGGAATCCTGGGAAGAACACGATGAACACGGGGAAGAACGGAGAGAAATCGCAAGGGGAAACACTCAAAAACAAGTCCAATCACACATCCACTAGACTAAAAAACATACAAGATCCACAAAGTACATGAACAACCAAGGAATAGATATAAGGTAGAGTTCATCCCAAATACAAGAGGAGATGAGGTCTTGATGATTTAGATGATCCTTCCCTAGATGGGGTCTTGAATCCACTATGGATCTTCTCCAAAAGAGGTCTTGAACTCCAATGGAGTGCTCTCTCTCTCTCTCTCAAGACTAGAGGCAGGAGCATAGCTCAACTACGATGAGCTATCACATTGCTAACCCTAACTAGAGGAAGGGGAAGGAGTATATATAGGCTAGTCCACAAAGGGGTAAGTGAGGAGGGGATACATGGGCCTCTGGCCCGGCTGTGCACACAGGTGTCGGACGTCCGGAGGACGTTGGTCGTCCGGTGGCTCGCGGGGGTCCGGACGTCTGGAGGGCGTCAGACTTCCAACATTTTGGCTTTGGATAGGTGGCACCGGATTTCCGGTGGGCGTCGGACGTACGGAGGTTGTCGGTCGTCCGACCGTTGTAGACTTGGCCGCTGCTGTCCTTCTGGTCGGCTGAGCGTGGGCGCGTTGGACGTCCGGGCGCTGTAGAGTGTTGGATGTCTGGTGTCTTCCGGTCGTCTGGCCGCTGTAGAGTGTCGGATGTCCGGTGTCTTCCGGTCGCTGTAGATTCCGCAGCTCTGTCTTCCCTTCCAAGCTTCCCTCGCGGATGGTGTAGATGTTCCTTGGCGCTTGCACTCCTGTGGTCATTCATGAAACTCCGACAATACCTATGCATGCACACGAGAGGAATGTCAAGCAGTATACCATCCTCGAAGGGGTCAAGTGAACACGTGTAAAGGAGATGATTCACCTTTATGTATGTGAAGTAGATGTCGCCCGTGCCACTTGCCAAATGGACTCTTGACATGGTGATGTCCATAGGATGCTCCGCATCATCTCCCTCCGGGAAAGATCCGACCTCGGATCAGAAACCAAATCACCATGGGAAAGAGATGGCTTCACCGTGTAGAAATGGACGATCACCAAGTGTTCATCATCTTCAAGCTCGTAATGGGTACTCTCCAATGTCGCACCATCTTGTGATTCCTTCAAAAGGAGTAAGGACAACAAACACTTGGAAAAACAAATGTGGTTAGCGTTAGTGCAAAACCAAGAATTCAAGAGGTGATTCACCCAACAAGTGTCGTCATCAAGCATAACATATGGCGGGACAAAGGATTGTGACATGGCATGTAAGCATACGAATTGAGCATAATCAAGGTCATCATGGAAACAAGCATGTAAATGTGAGGTAGTGATGCAAATATGTGTGATAAGAGAATAAGCATCTACCTCAAGTTCATAGCAAACATGCATAAAGCGCTCAACAAATGGTCGATGGTAGGCATAACAATCATTCACAACACCAACATAAATGAAGTGTCAAAACACATGGGTCAAGTGCAAGACAATCCAAGCATAACGTGCATACAATGTACTGAAAATAGTGTGGCACTCAACACAATAGAAAGAGCAATTGTTCATCATGTGCAAGGCAATCAAGCCAATCATGTGGCAAGCAATGGGACATGGCATATGTGAAGAAATGACATTGTTGTAACCAAGCATATGATAGGAGCAAACAATCCGCATGTTGGACGCAACACACAAGGTGTATATGTCATGAGGCATGGAACGGTAAAAATGACAAGTCGACGCAAGATCTCTAACATGTGCGCAATCAAGTAGTCCAAGATGGCCAATAAGTATCATGGTGCAAGCAACACAAGTAGTATGATCCGCAATATCCATGCTCAAGAAGGATGGCACCTTGAAGGCGTATCCTTGTGCATACTTCACAATGCCGAAGTACAAGCAAGTGCGATGTAGAATCATCGTGGTAGAAGGTGGTTCGCTCTCAAGAGCTCGAATGGTCAACTCACGTGAAGTGGAAGTTGACACAAGGTCCAAGTATCCTACACATGCACAAAAGAAAGCAAATAACGTATGTGCATGGTAGATAAACACATCATCCATCATGATGATTCTCTTCTCTTGCACATAACCATGAGAGGCACAAGTGCATGAATAATATGATGCGACAATGGCGATATTCATGGCACCAGGTATATGGTGCAAAGAAGTAAGACAAACATGCTTCACAAGAAATATGTCAAAATATCCACATATATGCGAGAATGCTATGGGGGCAATCTCATTAGCAAGACTATAATCATTATTGCACACAATACATGGCAAATCATCTAGCATGAGAGAGGCAACATATGGAGATATGTGACAAGAGGCAATAGCAATCATGTGCAAAGCATGGCAATAGTGGCTATCAACCATATGAAATGAGCAAGTATGAATCATCGGTGATGCAATACACAAAGAAATCATATTAATCAAGTCATGCAAACTAGTGGAGCGAAGATCCAACACACTAGAGGAAATCATGGCAATCATGTCATGTTAGCAAATAATAGGCATAGACAATGCACAAGCCATATTGCAAGTACGAACACAAAGCAAGATCAAAGTATCATCATAGGCATGGGGCACAAAGCAAACATGACAGTAACAAGTGATATCTCCACCAAGCTTACAAATACACATACAAGTACAAGAATCAATCATCACGTGTAGTGCAAAGCATGGGTCACAAATGCATGGCAAAGGCATGATACGTCCATTTTGCATCATACTTTTATATTGATATTTATTGCATTATGGGCTGTTATTACACACTATATCACAATACTTATGCCTTTTCTCTCTTATTTTATAAGGTTTACATGAAGAGGGAGAATGCCGGCAGCTGGAATTCTGGACTAGAAAAGGAGCAAATATTATAAACCTATTCCGCACAACTCCAAAAGTCTTGAAACTTCACGGAGAATCATTTTGGAATGTATAAAAAATAATGGGCGAAGAAAGCACCAGAGGGGGGCCACCATCCATCCACAAGGGTGGGGGGCGCGCCCTACCCCCTAGGCATGCCCCCTGCCTTTTGGGCCACCTGGCAGGCCCCCGATGCCCATCTTCTGCTATACGGTGTGTTTTGACCTAGAAAAATTAGAAGGAAGTTTCGGGACAAAGTGCCGCTGTCTCGAGGCGAAAGCTGGGCAGAACCAATCTAGGGCTCCGGCGGAGCTGTTCTGTCGGGGAAACTTCCCTCCGGGAGGGGGAAATTGAAGCCATCGTCATCACTAATGATCCTCTCATCGAGAGTGGGTCAACCTCCATCAACATCTTCACTAGAACCATCTCCTCTAAAACCCTAGTTCATCTCTTGTATCCGATCTCTGTCTCAAAAACCTCAGACTGGTACCTGTGGGTTGCTATTAGTGTTGATTACTCCTTGTAGTTGATGCTAGTTGGTTTATTTGGTGGAAGATCATATGTTCAGATCCTTAATGATAATTAATACTCCTCTGATTATGGACATGAATATGCTTTGTGAGTAGTTATGTTTGTTCCTGAGGACATGGGAGAAGTCTTGTTATAAGTAATCATGTGAATTTGGTATTCATTCGATATTTTGATGATATGTATGTTGTCTCTTCTCTAGTGGTGTTATGTGAACGTCGACTACATGACACTTCACCATGATTTGGGCCTAGGGGAAGTAATAAGTAGATGATGGGTTGCTAGAGTGACAGAAGCTTAAACCCTAGTTTATGTGTTGCTTCGTAAGGGGCTGATTTGGATCCATATGTTTCAGATTTATCTTAATTCTTTTTTTGTAGTTGCAGATGCTTGCGAGAGGGGTTAATCATAAGTGGGAGGCTTGTCCAAGGAAGGGCATGCTACTTCTTGAGCTTGCATTGGTTTTTCCCTTGAAGAGGAAAGGGTGATGCAGCAAAGTAGAGATAAGTATTTCCCTCAGTTAGAGAACAAAGGTCTCAATCCAGTAGGAGACAACGCATAGATCACCAATACCTGCACAAACAATCAAACAACTTGCACCCAACGCGATAAAGGGGTTGTCAATCCCTTCATGGTCACTTGCAAAAGTGAGATCTGATAGAGATAGATGAAACTAAACAATCGATAAAGTAAATATTTTTGGGTTTTTTGGTTTATAGATTGAAAAGTAAAAGATTGCAAAATAGTAGATTGGAAACTGATATGATGGAAAATAGACCTGGGAGCCATAGGTTTCACTAGAGGCTTCTCTCAAGATAGCAAATAATACGGTGGGTGAATAAATTACTGTCGAGCAATTGATAGAAAAACACAAAGTTATGACGATATCTAAGGCAATGATTATGAAATATAGGCATCACGTCCA